AATAATAGCTGTAGGTACCTGGTCGAGGTAGTGTCTACGGTAGGGCCATGCGGGTCACTTTGAGACGAACACCCGATCCGGGCCCCGTAGGTCCCGCCCCACTGGAAGTGAACACTAAAGTGGAACCCACCACAGCCCTGGGTGCCCCGTGCGTTTTTACTTCTTACAGGTAACTCGACCTCTAGCTTCCACTTGGCGATGAATCTCTGACAACAGACTCGTGATGCTCGCCCAGGATCCCCTTCCAGTCTCAACCCTTCTCTCCAACGGACATGCCCCTCTTGGGGAAAATAGAACATGCCATGTTTTCATGGAACCAACCGTCAACCCGTCCCTCGGCCCCCCGTCCCCCGTCGGCCCCCCGTCAACCCCTCGGGCCGCACATCATGATGTTTTCTTGAAGCAAACGCGACCCAAAAGGGGGCCCTTGTCGACTTCAAACACGGTCCCTTTTGGCACTGCCCTACGGTATCCGTACTATCTGGGTCGACTGTGACGGCAAGGTTCCTGCTGCATGGCGCTGGCCGCTGCCGCCAACATCTTCAGTCCTTCTCAACCTCTTCAGGGCATGTCCTCATCACGGCATCACGCACCACCCGTGGCCCCCTGCCTAGTTGTACCGCGACGCCCCGATGTCACGCTGGAGTTTCGTTGCTTCTCGTTTTCGCCAGGCACTGCATTGCGTCCAGGAGAGTGCAATAACACTGTTCCACCATCAGCGTTCCATTATCCCCTTGGCTAACTAGAGGCCTCCTTTCATTCTTTTTCAGAAGTTTGAAGATGTCGTCTGAGTGAGTGTTGTGTCTATGGGAGGAGTCAAAGAGCCTGCAAAATTGGAGATGGGAGAAGTTAAATGCCCATTCGTTTGCCCCACTTCAGAATCCCATGGGATGGGCGGTAGTCGAGGGATCGTCCCATTCTCGAAGGCCATCATCGACAATAGCATTTGCTTACAAGATTTCGCCTTTGTCCGGATCTGCCTATAAGTCCGGGCGTCACTCCTCTGAATCCCCCAGCTGCCACTTTCACCACTTCACTGACCAGAGAATAGGCGCAGTCTTCCTGGCTTCTACCTCTTGTCTTCGCGCCAACTTGTACACATCCAGACATCCTTTCGAGGCTTTGAGCTTCGCCGAGCTGCAGCGTCCTGCATTCGGGCATGCGCGCCATCGCTGGGAACCACACTCTGTGCGTTGCAGGTCACCCTGTTACGGCCACTGATGGCCAGTCGAAGACCGAGACACCCGCCCGAGCCCATCACCCATCACCCACCCCCCCTTCTGGGCCTCAAGCTTCCCCCCTTGCCCTGCCCTTGGCCTCATGGCCCATGTCTCCACCACGCGGGCACTAACTCGCAATCCCTCGCTAGTGTTCAGGAACAGCCAATAACGTGACGGGGATGCTTGCCTTATCTAAAATATCACGTCTCGCCGAGTCCTGCGTACCTTGAAGTTGAGTACGTAGAGGTAGCATGTAATTTCATTCCATGTGGTCGCGCGGCTGTCCAGTTCCTCTCTTACGTCGCGTTGATCGGCCTTGCCCAGACTTGAGCGACACTGTCTCTCCGCAATCGACAGGTACGAGTTGGAGTCGCGTACGTGCTGTGCTGAATCCGGCCTAGTTCAGGTACTTAGTAAAGAGTACCGGTAGCTAACGTAAACTGTGTCTTTTTGCTCTTTGGTTGAGGCTGCTTTGCTGCTTGGCTGCCCACGGGCGCCGCGCCTACCACCAAGGAAATCGGCTGCCGTTAGTAGCCTTGCGCGCTCCGACAGCTTGAACACGCAATCCATCTTTTTTGACTAATTTTTCCCTGTACTGTAGTGCAGCTCCCAGTTCTCTCCGGTGGTGTAAGCCGCGGGCGGGGGGCCGAAAAGCTAAAAGCACACTATGTACAATCTGGGAAGCTTCCCATTGAACGATCGAGTCACAAGTGGGGACCCCGAGGGACCAAAAAGTTAAATGCAGGATGCGTCAGTTGCCCAAATGAACCAATCAGAATCGCGTACAGAGTAGAGGTACGTAGCACCAAAAGCCAAAAGCGAACCACAAGCTCACCTCCTAGAAAAATCCTTGGGTCCAGGTCCAGATCGCGCCTGCCCACACCCGGAGTCCCGTCGTCCCCTTCCCTTCCACCTGCACTTCCACTTTTTCCTTCTGTTCTCATCCTGGCCATCCTGGTACGCTCACAGCCTCACCCAGACACCACCCACACCCCGGGAACTGTCTCGTCGACGCCCGCACTCGCACCGCACTCGCACACACACAACCGACTGACGGTTCGCTCCCCTTTTGCCCATTTGCGACAGGTCACTTCCATCCTCCACAAAGCTCTCCCCCATCCCACACCACTACCAGACTTTCAACTTTCCTCCTCCTCCAACCCCAGGCCAACTTTTTTTTTCCCTCCCTCCCTCCCACCACCTGCACACTTACACCCACTCATTCACCATCTAATCCTCGCTCTAGCAAACTGCTGTATTCCTGTCGCTTTGGACGTTACCTCGTTACCTCGTACCTTTTTGCACGCAGGCATCAGAGGCAGCATTCGTTTTCTTCCACTCAGCACAACGAGAAACGAGCTGCCACCAAACAACCACAACCACCAGTTACTTCCGCCCACTACAAGAGCGAGCAACAAGCAGACAGATTCTGGCTGTGCACCCCTCATCGTCATCACCTTTACAACAACGAACCCTCACACAAAGCCCTCGCCTTGGCCGGGTATCCTGTCGCGTCTTGGTAAATAACCTACAGGTAAGGTTGATTCCACACCCCAGGCCCGGCCCCGTCGCCTGTTTCTTGCCACGCTTTCTTTGTCCTGTCCTCATCCTTACTGCCCACCTATCCCGGGCCCCCTGCTGCCGACTGGTGCACGCGAATACCTAGCAGCACTTCCTTCAATCTCTCAAGCGAGCGAGTCACAACACACACGTACAATAGTAGGGTGTGGTCTCGATGGTGCACGCATACGTACGGACTGAATTCCAGCACGGTACCTGACACGCTCGACGTAACCAGGCATCCTTCTCTCCACAAAGTCGCCGTCGCATCCACTCTGCGAACCCAATTCCTCCACTGCCAACCTGCCGACGGCTCGTTGCCCATTCGATCAATCACGTCCGATCGTCGCCCCAGTCGTCTCCGTTCTATCTGTAGCGACTCCAACCTGTACATGCACCAAACGCACCGCGAGGCATGAACGGGGATCGTCGTCAGAACGTGAACGCTCCGGGCGTAACCTCCTCCGTCACCGTGTCCGCCAACTCTTTCGCTTCTCTGGCCTCCAACCGCGCGAGCCCCTTCTCGTCGTCCACCGCGACAACCAACACAATGGCCGCCCCATCCTACCTACCGCGACCTTCCGCCGCTCAGGCTGCGCAAGCCTTCAACAATAGACAAGGCATGACCTCTCCGGTCGGCTACTACACAGCTGGCAAGCCCTTCGATCGCGACGCTGCCAAGCCTGTCGGAACCCCGTTCGCCGCGACGCCCTCCCCGACCTATTCGGTCGCCCGCATCCGCAAGTTGCCTGCCAACTTTACCGAAGACCAGCTGCGCCTGATGATGGCCCTCTCCAAGGATCTCGTCAAAGCCGAGCTACTGCCCGCCGACATGTCGGACGATGCTGGTTTCCGCACCGCGATTCTCACATTCAAGACCTTGGAGGGCGCGCAAGAGACGAGGCAACTCCTGAACGGCAAGACGAACATGACCAACGACGCCGAAATGATTGTTGAGATTATTCAGTCCGATTCCGCAGTCTCGAGCACCAGATTCTCGATTGACACATCTGTCTCCGCTGTGACGTCGGCAGTCACTTCGCCGACAGCGCTGACGGCGCCCTCCTCGAGACAAGTGTCGCGCTTCAATGGCACATTCCAATCTCTTGACCGAATGTCGCCGCCCCTTAATACTACGTACGGGTCCACCGAGTTGGGCAGCCCCGAGGCCACTGCGCACTACCAGAACCTCTTCTCCGCTCAATCGCCCATCGGAAACTACCTTACTGACGGTAGTCGCGCGACCGGCAAGACCTTGATTAACAACGATTCCGCAGACGATGACGAAACGGGCGAAATTCTCAAGGAAATTGGCGGCTTTGCTGAAGGCGGTCCCCAGCAACGTCGGTCCACCTCATCTCAGCTTCCCATCACGCGCATGGCAAACTTGTCGCTAAACACATCGGTTCCCACGACTATGCCGCAGTCAGTGTCGCACTATTCCCAGTCTAGCATGGCGGGCATGGGAGCGCATTCTGCTACCATGTCGCCTACCAACATGATGGGCGGCCCCGTCCCAATGATGCCCCATGCTCAACCGTATCGGCAACACCCACCCGCGAACCCCGCGGACATGAACCCTCCTTGCAATACCCTCTATGTCGGCAATCTGCCCATCGACACCTCCGAAGAAGAGCTCAAGGCCGTGTTTTCCAAGGTGCGGGGATACAAGCGCCTTTGTTACAGGACTAAGCACAATGGACCCATGTGCTTTGTCGAGTTCGAGGACGTCTCTTTTGCCACTAAGGCCCTAAATGAGCTCTATGGTCATACGCTCAGCAATAGCCGTAAGGGCGGCATGCGACTGAGTTTCTCAAAGAACCCCCTTGGAGTTCGCACGGGTCAGGCGCCTGGCCAGAATGGCGCTGGACCCATGAACGGCATGAATGGTTTCCCCCACGGTCCCAACACTGGTTTCACAACCGCAAGTGGACCTCCTCCGGGATTGTCTGCCCCTCCTGGTTTGGGCATGAACAGGTCGCTGTACTCGGGGTCGCCTAACATGCTGAACAACGGACACAATCCGTATACCCCGCCCCCGTTCCCCACGAGTCAGAACCCCTGGGCTTCGAGCTTCAACGGCTCTTCGCAACTGAACGGCAACTCTCAGGCGCAATTCCCGGCATACATGATGGGCAGATGATAATACGCATACGAAGCTGGCGCCCTTGCCCTCCGGATGGCATATTCAGATCTCTTCGTTATTTCCGATCTGTTGTCCTTGTTTTTCTGCGTATTTCAAGCAAAGGATATTTCACGTTTTGGATTATTGCTGCACTTACACATCTTTTCTTGTCTGCCTCGCGCCGATCAATTGGACAAGAAAAGCGGCATGGACATGGGGTGTTGATTGGAGCTGGTAGGCGATGTTTGAGGCACAGTGGTTACGGCTTGCATACGGCTGGCATCTTCGACATGGCATGCATTGGCGCATGGTGCGTGTGGACACATGAATGTTGTTTTTCGACATGGACACGATTTCCCTCTTAATTTAACGTCGTTATTTTTCTTTTTCTTTTCTTTTGCGTTTCACCCAACACGCTGGAGTCGTAGAGGATTCTCTTTTTGCCGGAATTCCCCTTATGCTTCCCCGGTCTCCTTTTTGGCTTTTGTTCAGGGCGAGCGTCTCATGGCCTTCGACCATGGTTCAAGAGCTGTTTTCGTGGCCACACCAGCGTGCGTGGAGTCTAGGGATTGGCATCGGCCTACGGCGTCACGATCGGTTTATCATCAGCATCCAAGGGAGAGAAACGAGCATGGGCGACATGGACCCAAGAGGTCCGTAGGAGTTATCGTTATTTGGCTTGTGGCATATCGCGCAACACATACAAACACACTGGCATTCGAATATGCAGGCGGCTTGCGGTGCAAGAAAATATACACACAATGGTGCAGTCTTCCAAAACAATCATTTCAACCACCTTTGTGTATGTACGGCGGCCCTCATACGCGGCGAAAGGAATTAAATCCCGGATCGTTTGACATCATATGGCACAAGAGAAAGAAAACTACACACATATCATATATGGGGTACGCATCTACAAAGTGGGCTGAACACATCTCCGGGGTTAACGGCAAAAGACTTGGGGACATGGGATGAAATGATACCAAACCTCTTGTACACATCAAACAGGAAAATGTTTTTGCATAAAATATCTTATCGTTGACTTTTGTTTTGGATGGAATATTATCTTCTTGGCGCTATGATTGTTTATACTCCTTCTTCATCGCTTCTTTGAACGAGAGTTGCGGCAACCTCCTTTCATCCGACAACCGAACAAACACCTATGCTTATCGTCCCGGTGGCACGCGAACACAACAGCAATTAAGATAACCTCAGCCGGGTGTCACCGAACCCCCACGAAACCTTTGTGGAAGGCAGTGCTTCAGGACGGGATGGAAGGGAGCCGCACTTTATGTTGGATATTTTGTATCCTTTATTGCTTGTTCTAGTATCTATTCTTCTTCGACATGACGCCTGCCTCATTCACACCCTTCTGCTATACTGTCAATGTGGTTATCATACCGCTCTCCACATTCTCTCTAGTCTTCAGAGTCTCTACTACAGCGTTGTATGACGTTGTTTGCACTTGCAAAGGAAACCATTACTGTCAGAAATGCGTATGTCAAGAGTGAGAGATAGGGAGCAGACGGGAGACGAAGTCAGGGCATCATGGAGGCCTGTGACGACTGTAATTCATTTATCAGAGGCGTGAATGGTAGAGGTGTCATGTCATGTTTGCGGATATTTCTATTCTGGTTCTATTTGAGTGTGTTGATGATCTTTAGTCGGTTTTTTGTATATCAGGATATTTGTCATAGCGGAATTAGCGAATTGGCAAACAGATGACTTCAACGTCCCTGACTATAGCTATCCGACACGTTTATGTCCATTGGTTCAAGGTCAATGTGCTAACTAAGTGGTTTGTTGCGCGCAGAGTGTCTGTGACCTTCTTGTACCGGTAGGGAAGAGACGTTGATATCTGGATATTTGTCACCAAAGGCTACTGTAATTAATTCCAAGACACAACGCACTAGGAGGTGAAGTCCCACATTAAATTGACTTGATCTCCTCACTGTTAGTTTCAAGACACTTCACATTTTGTTGAGCTTCCACTGAGTTGTATTCCTCTCTATTCCTTCATCCGCTCTTCACCTTAAGTTACCTCTCTCCTTTCAATACTATTATTCACCCGTCTTTTCACTGGCTTCTCACCATCTCTTCAATTCCGTTATAGGGAAGGAGGGGAATAATAGTCTCCATTAGATGCTCCTTCCCGGCCGGGCAAGTCGGCAATTGCTTGGTCCATCATACCAAGATCGTGCCTTCCTTTACAGGTGAAGATTAGGTTGACAATGATTGAGTAGGTGGAAGGTACGAGAAGTTACCAGATGACCAGAGCGCCGTCCTTTAAGCTCAGTCAGTACACACCCCCAATTGATATCATTCATTCCATATCTGTTCACCACTTCACGTATTATCATTTTCATCAAGTCGAGTTATGTATCATTAGCATCTGGCTAGCTAAGCCATGCGTTATAGACTTCAGGAACCTTCATACATATGGACAATCCAAAAAAATGGTGTTCCTTCATGTTGTTCTTCTCACTCGATCCTTTTTGTCCGCTCTCCTCATCGGCCAGTTTCGTGAGCTTTTCCCCGCCCGCCCGCCCGCCTCTTATATGCATGGAGAGAATAGATCAGTGACTAGATAAATATCCTCCGAATCCTGAAGATTTCCTACCTATCTAGCCATGTCCATGAAACCCACAACTCATCATCACACGCAAAACGAACCATCCCAAGTGCTGTGTCGGTGACCATGATCGACTAGCCATAAAAAACCGTACCGCCCATGGAATCCAAGATTCATTACCACAAGAAAATCGTCATCATCACTTCCCCTACATCACCACATTCTTTGCCTTCGCCTTCGCCGCTTTCGCCCCTCCTCCTCCTCTCCTACTCAAATAAATCCCCCACAAATCTTTCAACGTCCCAACCCACCCCCTAACGGTCCTGACCATATTCAAAATCTTGACAAACCTATAAACGAAAACCTCCACCATCTCATAATCATGCGCATGCACCTCCCAAACCGCGCCAGGCGGACTCCTAATCCCCCCTCCATCCCCTTTCCCTTCCCCTTCCCCCTCAGCATGTCCAGCATCAACAACCACCACCCTCCCGCCCACAACCCTCTGCCGCCCCCCAATAACCAACCCCCTCCCCACCACCCCCTCATCAGCCATCAACCTCGTCGCCGCATCCACCACATCCTCAATCTCCGCCTTCGACCCGCCCGCCAAGAGCGCCAGTCCGCGCCAGGGGATAATGGGGGTATCGACAAAGTACGGACACAAAACATTACACCGGATGCCTTTCGTCCAGGACGTCGCCCTCAGGGAGCGGAAGAGGCCGAGCACGCCGTGCTTGGAGGCTGTGTACTCCGTTTGGCCGGGGAGGGGAGCGAGGCCGGCGATGGAGGAGACGAGGAGGAGGTGGCGGTCGCGGATTGGTTGATTTTCACTGAGATGGGAGGAGGGGGGGTTGTCGAGGTCAAGACGGGAGACGCCGCCGTTGCGGGGAAGCCAGAAGAGAGCGAGGTGGGTGGTGTACATGACGCCTGTCAGGTTGACGTTGAGGACGTTTAAGGGCGGTGGTGGGGGTGGGATGCTGTCGTCGGAGTCGAGACCGGAGGGGTTGTCGAAGACGCCCGGGGCGCCCGAGGCTACGTCCCCTTGCTCGCTGATGCCGGCGCCGGCTACGACGGCGTCGATGCCGCGGGTGGGACTGGCGCGGGCGGCCATCTTGAAGAGGGAGACTTGGTCTTCCCATTTGGTCACGTCGCAGTGCTGGTAGTAGTGGTGCTTGGAGGAGCCGGGGAGGGAGCAGAGCTCGGCGATGAGCTCCTCGCCGGCGGAGTCGTTCACGTCGCCGATGATGATGTGGGAGCCGTGTTTGGCCCACTTGCGGGCGAAGGCGGCACCGAAGCCGGATGCCCCGCCGGTGATTAGGATGGTCTTGCCGGCGAGAGACTTGGTGTCGTAAGGAGCTGTGACATCGATGGGTGGTGATTGTTTGATAGTGTCGACGATTGACCAAGAGAGGTCGTCTGTTGTTATTGAGTTGTCCATAATTGTGGGCTTCTCGTCAAGCTTTGGTGGTAGGTAATGGCGTTCAACCTGGAAGTTGGTGAAGAGACAAACTTGGATGGCAAATACGGTTGCCCAATTGTTTGAAAACGCTGAGAAAAGGTCTTGTTTTATAACGCCAATCTACCGAGAACCTCGGAATCAAGTCATCCAAGCAAGTTCCTTGCGCAAACCAGATAAGGTTTAGATCCGATCCCTCGTGGTCTGTTATTTTGTGGGTAATGTAGTAGTGGGGTGGAAGCTATGTAAGTGATCTTCATGGATCAACGGTCGTTGACAACCGAGGCAATTAGAGTGCTTAAAGCTTATGATCGATAAAAGTGGCTGAAGAGCTGAGGAGCGACGGCGTCGAATTGAGTTTCTTTCAGCTCAGTGATTGATGTGGTGAAGAAAGTCAAGAGAGAAAAAGGGAAGAAAAGATGAGAACTTGGCACGAGTAAGCAGACAAGATTTTAATGCGAAAAGCTCCACCCTGACTAGAAATTACAATGACTTGAGTCGGAAAGAGGGGATGAAGAACAGGAAGTGGCTGTCAGTTCTTGTGACCTGGTGATGAAGAGCAAAAGTGATAACTTTTATCACAAATAAAACGGTGGGCAAAGCTGAAGAGAGGGGAAAGATCATCTGGCTCTTTTCAGCCAAGCGGCTAACTAGTATTTGCGCCATGTCAAGCCATCCTCCCAACATTGGTCCAACAAGGCGTCGAGGCGCGTTACATGACAATGTCAGTGGCAGCTGTCGTCCGCTCGCTTCCCTTCATTTATAGAAGGGGTTGCGTCACTGGGCTTTATCCAATGGTTGGAGTATTGGGAACTGCCAAGACTGCATCTGTTCCCAATGGGACAAGCATCGTGGACATGATCTCTAGACATGGTGCGATGAAGAGGTGGTACTTGATCGCTTGACGGGGGGATTTCAGTGATCAGATAGTCTCCGTGACACTCGTCTGTTGAACAAACAAAGAGCATCAATATGATCCCATGCCCATACTTCGGACGTAGAGTGAAGGCGACATGGCAACGTGCCAAGTTGGTGTTTCTTCAAGGGTGGTGACCTGGTAAGGCAGCCGTCGTATTTCTTTGAGCTCTCAGTCGGCTTGTTCACCGCTCGACCAGGCAAAAGATAGGGTACGTAGGGCTGGATGACAAGCATGGGAGATCCCGTACGTATCGTGGTGGGGAAATATCCCAACAACCTGGGGCCCAATTCGAGGCCAATGTTTTTCCCTATCCACATCTGGTAAGCCACCAGAAGACGATCGTTGGCTGCGGGTGCTGTGCTGAATCTGGAGCGGACACTGACGCGGCTCGAGAGGGGAGGGCGGCTTGACAATAACGCTGTCGTGAGATCACAAGGAATGCCTGTATAAAGCCCTTGCCCAAGCGTGGTTGGGTTATGATCACGACGGGGGACGTTGATGTTGTGCTTTCTTTCTCCCGTCGTTTCTATTGTGGGCAGCGCTGCTGACCTGTAAAAGACGTCGTGTTAAAGCCGGTCATGGTAACGGCCAAGCCTTGTGTGCAACGTCGAACAGATGCAGCACACTTTCCAGAAAGCGAGCAACACAGAAAAGGTTGTTGCTGTGGTGAAGCTGTATGTGCGGCGGCGTACTGCACGAACGATGTGCGACTCGACGCTCCTGAACCGGATGTTGATGTTGAGATGAAGATCAGGGGAAACTCAAACAGTGGCGAGGAGTAAGAATGAGGGGAACAGGAACGGAACAGTCCGTGACCTGTAAAAATGGAGCATGTGGACGGGTTCCAGCCCTACGGTCCGGCGATACGTACCGTACTGTACCGGTACAGAGGAGAGGTACTCCCTGCAAGTACTCCCGGAGTGGGACAGGGTCGCCTCCACCAATGCTCCAAAGTCGGACCAGACCACGTTGGAGCTAAGACGCGGCCCTGGGAACACCCTGTCTTGCGACCATTCGACCCTGATGGACACGGACGCTGTTTTCAGGGACAAAGTGTGCTGGACAAGTCCCCCAAGTTCCACGCTTGGAGCTCCCCGTGTCTGGCCCCACACAAGTGCATCACAGCTCCGATCGCCGGAGTGTTGAGGGAACCCTGTGGCGGGGCGCCGAGCCGATGGCGACTCATTTGTGAGAGGCAACACGAGAGAAAAAGTTGCGGAGCAGATCCCACCTCTTGTCTGGGAAGAAAGTGAAGAGCGCCATTGACTCACCTTCCTATCTGAACCATTTTCCTGCCCAAGAACTTTCCTGTTCTGTTTGCTTGATCCATTTCTTTTGAATCACATTGTCGTCTTAGTTTCCCAGCACAGCTCGTCATCATGTCTCAATTTCCTACCAGAAACGTTGGTGAGTCTCTGCGACACCCCACCTTTTAGGTTCCTCAGGGACACTTCAGCATGTGTTCAGCATGTGTCCCCGTCTCCAGACCGGGCGGATCCATGCCAACTTCTCCGATTTACACGCGAAATAATACTGTACCGGCCCGAGCACTAACCGTTCCCATGACGTCCCGCAGGTGTCTTGGGCTGCACCGGCTCCGTCGGCCAGCGCTTCATCCTGCTGCTCCAGAACCACCCCGTCCTGAAGCTCGTCGCCGTCGGCGCCTCCTCCCGTTCCGCTGGCAAGCAGTACCGCGATGCCGTCCGCTGGAAGCAATCCACCCCCATCTCCCCCGAGTTCGGTGACCTAGTCGTCCGCGAGTGCAAGGCCAGCGAGTTCGCCGACTGCGACATCGTCTTCAGCGGTCTCGACAGCGATGTCGCCGGCGACGTCGAGAAGGAGTTCCAGCACGCCAACATTGCCGTCTTCTCCAACGCAAAGAACTACAGACGCGACCCCCTCGTGCCCCTCGTCGTCCCGACCGTCAACCTCAACCATCTCGACCTGATCCCCCACCAGCGCAAGACCCTCGGCCTCGACAAGGGCTTCCTGGTATGCAACAGCAACTGCGCCGTCATTGGCCTCGTCGCCCCCTTTGCCGCCCTCCAGGCGCGCTTCGGCAAGATCGATACCGTATCCGTCGTCACCATGCAGGCTGTCTCGGGTGCTGGATACCCCGGTGTCAGCAGCATGGACATCATTGACAATGTTGTGCCCTTCATTTCGGGCGAGGAGGACAAGCTGGAGACCGAGGCCCAGAAGATCCTGGGTTCTCTCAACGCCGACGCCACTGCCTTTGAGGACCAGAAGCAGCTCCGGGTGTCGGCAGCCTGCAACCGTGTTCCTGTCTTGGACGGCCACACCGCCTGCGTGTCGCTGCGCTTCGCCCAGCGCCCGTCCCCGTCCGCCGAGGAGGTCAAGGAGGCCTTGCGCAGCTATGTTTCTGATGCCCAGAAGCTGGGATGCCCCTCGGCCCCCGAGCCCCCTATCAAGGTCTTTGACGAGGCCGACAGGCCCCAGCCCCGTCTTGACCGTGATCTCTGCAAGGGATACACTGTCAGCGTTGGCCGCGTCAGAGAGGATGAGAGCGGCATCTTCGATATCAAGTTTGTTGCATTGAGCCACAACAGTAAGTTGCCTTGTGCCCCGAACGCCTCTCGAGATCCTGCGCTAATACCTATTTGTAGCTGTTATTGGAGCTGCTGGTTCCTCCATCCTTAACGCTGAGGCTGCCATCTTCAAGGGCCTCATCTAAGGTTAGGCGGGCTGTTTTATAATTTTGGAAGAAAAATACCATATATGGGGTTGCTGCTGTGAGAGTATCAAAATGATACAGATGCATTCGGTTTCTTTTTTGGAGTTCTCATGGGTGAACTTGGCATGGAGTCTTGATGCGAGCTTAACTTACGAACCAAAAGTCTAGAAATTCATCTTTCCGCGCTTCTTTCTCCCTCCCATCCGGTGTCGTGCGGTTAGAGTGCGAGACACACCGGAAAGTCTAATCCGTTCTATGGTCTCGTCTATGAGAATCGAACGAATGCAAGTACCCGCCTGCTGCCATGCGTCTATCGCATGTTGTCCGTCCAGAGAGGCATGCTTGATGCAGCAGCCCGTCTTGTTGAATGGCGGGAGAAGCTTTCATCGAACTGTTGACACCCCCAACGTCTGTTGTATGGGCATGGCAAAGGCCATGTCTTGGCTTGCTTTTGCCTCACGATGCAGGGGAATGCCAATTCACGGTCTCTTGCAGACGTTGGAGTCTTAGCTAGACGATGCGCAGGAACACTATCGTCATGGGACTCGCCTTCTTCGACGTTGTGGAACAGAAGGAGGCGGGAAAGACGAGACCGAGTCGTGGTGTTTTAGATGCTGAGATCGAGCAGCAGAGAAAAACTCGATCCATGGAGCATGGAAGCTTTTCAATACTTCTGGTTTCGAGCGGTTGCCGGGAGCTAGACCAGTCGGGTTGCCATATAGCTCTCGAGGTAGCTATGTTTTGGGAGGATATCATCCAACGACCAGTCGATGTGAGATTCTCTATCACGGAGCAGACCGTCTGTTCGACGCCAAGGCCAAGGATACGCCAAACCGGCCATCGATATAACGGGTGTCGCCGTGAAGCAAGGGATGAAGGGTTGGATTTCGAAGTACATTTCGCGGGGGGTGATTGATCGCCGTCAAGGGTACCAGAAAGTAAGCCCTTAAGTTGTATGGTAAGGCCGGGTGTAGATGGTCTGCCGTCGTCGATATAAAAGATCGTTGGTCCGCCCATCACTTGGGCCTTCCTCCCGTCGCGCTCAGGCAGTCCTCGACCCAAGCACCATATTGGTAGGGACGAAGCATGCTGAAACCGTGCGACCTTATGCGCTGCTGCCCTTTACCTTTGGTATGTATCAAGGATGGTGCCCGATTTCGTTTCGTCTTTCTTTTCCGTCGTGATAAGGTGCCGTTGAATGGAGCGGAAGGACAAAGATCCCTCGCTACCGACCCATGTTGTGAAAGATGCGCACCAACAGGACGTTCTCTGTCAAACATCGAGTATCAAGACTGTTGTGGTGGCGACTCGACAAGTTGGGTGTAGCACACCTGTGGTGCTTCTGTTGACAAAGTGAAGTTGGCTCGTTGGGAGTTGAAGGGTTGAAATGGAAGCTTGACTTCATCCTAGCAGCGGCACGTTCACGGCACGTTAACGGCACGCGAGGTGGGGCGTCATTGATAGTAGTGGAGCCCACTAAAGATGAAGCAGCAACAGCTTGACAGTGCACCGTTGCACCTGCAGCTCAGGCGGTCCTGTCCCTGTCCGAACCTTGTGAGCTTCCCCTGCCGCCTAGCCTGGAAGTGGTTCCAGTGTGGATTCTGGAGAAGTGGAATTAAATGAGGTGCAGCAACCCCATCACCCCAACACTCACCTACCCTCCAACTGTCAGGCCAACGACGGCATCTTGGCTTAACCCGGGCTCATGATCCCTCCGTACTCCTCCTGACCCCGACCTGACCAACTGAAGACCCCGACCACGACCCCGACCCTGAACGCGCGACTCTTGCATCTTGTCCAACATAACAGAAAAAGTTACTCGCGATTAGCATTTT